TGAGTTAAAATGAACTGTTAATTTGTCATCAATCATGCAAGACGTGAGAAAATTCCAGTTCAGTGTTACTGATATTTTTGATGACGGTGATTCATACTACGTTTACATGTATCCAATGTAGGCAAACATTTAGCTTCCGTGGCGTACATTTTTTCCACATAAATCCATTCTTTGTTCTCTTCATAAAATTAAATACCAACACTTCTTTTGTTTTTGTATCTATCTTCGCTAGACTAGTGGAGAAAATTTTCAGTATTAATTATAATTATGTATATATGTATATATAATAATTTTAAGTTTAAACAATTACTGGAGTTGTTAAGCTGTAATAAAAATAACATTTAAAAGAAAACCTACATTAGAAAGGATATAATCAAGGGCATGTTTTCGCGCAGTATGCCTTGTGTTAATAACGCATTCATACAGATTCATGTTAAACCTATATGCAATATACTGGCAAACAACCATTGCGAAAGGAATATTATTAAATTTCATAATCGATATTAACTTGAATTACCAGATTTATTAATGCATCTCGATAACTTATGTTTGCGATTTCATATTTGAAAGCAATGAGTATTTTCCCTTATTATTAAAAGTAACGGTGTCACAAATTTGTATCTTTTGGGTTGACAACCAAGTTCATGCAGATTTTATTTTGAAACGAAAATTCCAAATATAAATATTTAGACTTTATTAAGTGAAATAATGACCTTTAACATCGATTCACTTTTGCCGTTTTTTAAGCAAATTGTTCTGGTGATATTTAACTTATATAAATGACAACGCTTTATTTAAGTTTAATATCAGCAAAACTAGATACTGCACACCAATTTTGACACTGACATTCCTTTAGTACTTCATTCTTACATAATTATTATGTGTAACATTGAACTTGTTGTAGCTAGGCCAATTTATAATATTTTGATTTACAGGAAAGAAATGGTAAGAATCTAAGATCTATTAAATAAATAAAATTTGGATAGAATGATACGGCTTAAAGAATAATTATGACGTTTAGTTACTCAAGTATACAATTGCTAATATTATATCTTTCTTTATACAGCGTGTCGTTACAACCACGACAATTAATGAACACACGTCTATAAATATTTTTAAACAAACTAATTAAATAAAAAAGAAACAAAATTTGTAACAAATACAACTGACTGATTCATACATTCCGACTTTTTTCATTCATTGCCAAAAAGTAGCATTACAAGTCTCTCCTTCCAACAGTATGTTTTATCTCTTTTAAATTCATTCTACCCATTCATATGCTTTGTGACCTTTACAAATGAACTTTACGTTACAGTTTTATACGTAAGGGTGTTCTAAAAATGTTTGTTTTGTAAAATTTAATAATTCTATAAAGTAATAACAGCCTATACATGTCCCATTGCTGGGCAAAGGCCTCTTCTATACAGAGGGTATCAGGGCATAGTTCACCACGCGGCCCCACTGCGGTTTGGCGGACTTCACATATCTTCGAAACATATTTTTTGTTACTATTTCGAAAATATGCAGGTTTCCTTACGATGTTATCCTTCACCGCGGAGCACGTGATAAGATAGCACTTTAAGTTAAAAACTTCATTGGTGCCGGCACCGGGGATCGAACTCAGGTTGCTCGGGTATATTGAATTAAAGGCGAGCGCCCGGACACTGAGCTATCACGGCTGTATTATACGGCTATAAATATTGATGTTTAAAGAATGAAAATGCTTAATAGAATTTTAAAAAGCTATCCTCCATATGTGTTTTCACTTATTGTCGCTGTTGTAACGATACGCTGTATAATTCTTCTGTATGTATGTATGTCACTGAGCTCCTCCTAAACGGCTGGACCGATTTAAATGAAATTTTTAGTCGACTTCAAAAAGAAGGATGTTTCTCAATTCGATCGTATACATTTTTTTTATGTATGTTCGTGGATAACTTCGCCGTTTATGAACCGATTTCGATGATTATTTTTTTGTGGTACCATGTAAGGAAACCCGGATCTGATGATGGCATCCTAGAGAAATCGAGGGTAATCCTCAAATGTTATATCAAATACATCCACATTCAAAATCACATTTTATCATATTAAAAAAAAACAAAAAGGAAGAAAAGAAATCCCAAATATAGGCATTAACAATGTTTTTTAGTTTCCGGCTAGATGTTTCGATTTTTTTTTGTTAAAATTTATTTATGTGTGTTCAGGTGGATTTAAGAAAAGAATAGAATGGAATTCACAAAGTTATTCAAAAAAGTTTGAAACTTTTGTATTTAAGACGTACATACGTCTACTTGCCAATAATCATAAAAATATAAAATGTTGAAAAAAACCATATTTAAAAAAAACATTTTTTCAAAGAGACAAATAAAAAAGAAACAAAATTTGTAACATGTTGTGTACATTTTGTTATCCTCTAATAGTTTAGTGTTCATGTTTGCGTTTAGTATACTTACATAAAACTAGCAGACCGGACAGACGTTGTCGTGTACACGACTTAAATTCGACAACTTAGAAATAAAAAAAGAAAAAATGCTGTGGACCGAATTGTGAATCTAAACCACTCTCGAATCGACCTGAAGACACACAATCGGTCCAGCCGTTTAGGTGTTCGGTGACATACACACGTAGGTACAGAAGAATTATATATGATAAGAAATATGTAACTATTTTTTGGTCTTTTTTCATTTTTAAAATTGAATTTCGGATTTATTTACCTACGTCTAATTTTCACTACTCCCAGGGTTGACTGGAAGATAATGCTTATTAGCATTAAGTTTGCCATTTGTTTGGCCTTATGTTGGAGTGTAGACATAAATTTTTAATAAATCTACATTGCTTTCAATCCATCACAGTACGACCAGAATTAATATGAATTAATCAAAATGTAAACTGCTGCACTTATATTAAGTGAAAATGAATGAAATAAAACAAATAAAAGGATAAAGAAGTTGTCTATGATATTTATTTCAATATCATGGCCATACAATTTTATTTATAAATAACACCCATTGTATTATTAAGCTAAATCACCTAAATATTTGGTTTACATTTTCGCTTACCATAAAACATTCTTGTACATTTAAGTAAATGCCATAATAGAAAGTTTAATATTTCATCCGATAACTTTTGCGACTAGCTAACTAAATTTTTCGGAGGTACAAATCATGCGTTACACAAACGTTTCCCGTTGTATCTATCTCATTTTAAAGCCCGCTCTAAACAAGTATTGCTTCAAAGTCGATTATTGCTTTCTCAATTAACCTCGAGACCCGATGTTAGACTAATTAATACTACTAATGATAGTTGCGATCACAGCGAGCCACCCTAAAGGCCCATTTACACGATGCCATTTTCTTGTACATGCAAGAGCAATAATTGAATGCAATAAATTGCGCGCAATAATTGGTTAGACCATTTGTTGTTTAGACCATGCAACTTATTTATTGCTTCAATTTAATTGTATACAACAGGCAAGAAACTGGCACCGTGTAAATGGGCCTTAAGAGGTTAGGAACAATACCATTTTATTTCGTACGAACAGAGATAACTAAACTTAATAAATAAAAAGCGGATATTATTATAATGCAAAAATTAGACTAAAATGAATTGAAACTAATACCATTCATAAATGATTATTACATATCGTAGTAATTTAACAAATTATTATCACCCACGATCCAGTTCCATGGATAGTGATACATATAATACTGATAAAATACAAAAACAGCGCCTAAAAAAGCGTTTGTTTGTTAGCATGGTGCATGCAAACATGAATTTTGTCGATAATAAGTAAAGTGATAAATAGCTAAAGTTAATATTCCAAGTTTGTGTTGCAAGTAATTTCACTTAGGATAAACAATCGCTTGGTTCTAATGGCTTTCCTTCTATACTTATTTCTAGATATTATATAAATACTTTGTGTTTAACCAATGGTTTCCAAATATGTTTCTGAACCACACCCATCTTAGAACCATCGTTTCATACAGAGCAACATAATTATTATGTTAAAAATTTGCTACTTTATTACATTTCACTAGTTATCTTAACAAAGTAACAAAATGTGACATTCTTCAATACCATGTTTTTGTTATCACAATAACTCTGATTTAATTTATAACTTATTTTTAATATCATCGTCCCAATCATTATTTAAGAAATAAATGATTAAGTTAAATAAATGCAAAAAAGTTAAGATTGGAATAGGAATTAAACATAAATTTGACTTATAACAAAATAAATCGTGATTTGGAATTATGAAGGCCTTATAAAATTAGATAAAATGTTTTTTTTTTTTACAATAAATCGAATGATTTAATAATCCAACTAGATTACAAATGTCTAACATCACTTTGATTTTAAAAAGCATAAAACAAAATTTTATTGGTTGATGATGGAGTTTTTTCATAGTCTTATATGAGTAAAACGACTTATTGCGAGTATTTGTGCCTGAGAACAATAGCCTTCTCGCATTATCACATAACAGACAATAACTAACTAATCAGAGAACAACACATAGCAGACAGAAATAAAAAGGGCATACAACATTTAGAACGAAATGCTATTGTTCAATGATGTTCATTTACATTTTTTATAACCGCTCTATGCAGCCAAATTTAGTTTATTAGATTTCTCAATCTTTACGGATATGCATAATTATTTTCTGCGTATTGCTTCACACAATGTGTTATAACCTAAAACAGGATATCACACAGCACTACGTATAATAACAATTAATGGACATATCGACATCATCTACGTAAATTAAGTTAATTCTACAATTGATACTTATTAATTCTCATGCCTTACTTAGTAAAATCCTCTTTCTTTATGTTTAGCATCAACATTTTGTTCAAAACGTTTCGAGTCAAATTACGCTCGCAAATTTGAAATATACGGAAATGGTGCTTTCAAAGGACTTCTTGCTCCTGTACAAATGAGTTGAACATAGCCCAGTTTACGTAGATGGATGGATTTAACATTGGATGTTGGATGTAACTTCAATGCGTCGGCAACGCAAGCCTGTCCGAGTGTGAGCTGGCGGGGCGGAGCCGCGATGCCAGCCGCCCCCGCAGGGCTGCCAGGAATGTCGCGACTCCATGGGCGAACATCATCACGACCGCGCAAAGCGCCACGAATGCGAAGGCAGAACCTGCATGACAATCGTAAATTCAGTGTTAGTGGAGTGCTTTCAGGGTATGAGTTTTTTTTTTTTATGGAAAAGGAGGCAAGCGAACAGGCGGGCCAGCTGATGGTAAGAGTTCACCGCCGCCCATGGACACTCGCAACACCAGACGATTCAGAAATACGTTGCCGACCTTTGAGGTCGGAATGAGCTCTGATTTTGAAGGTCTTAAAGTCGTATCGGTCCGGAAATACCGCTGGCGACAAATGCTTCCACAACTTGGTTGTGCGTGGCAGAAAGTTGGTTTGGAGAACAGGCGTTAAGAAGCGGTGTACCCGGCTTATTCCAGTCGAGTGAGGGGTAGATGGCGGGCAGGCCGAGGCGGTCAGTGCCACCCAGTGCCCAGTAGAGGGCGCTGAAAAGGCCGTAAGCCAGCCCCGCCCCGGCACCGTATAGCGCGTGCGCCGCCCGCACGGGATGAGCGGTCAGCGCCAGTTCGCAGAGCATCACCGCCGAGTTGCCGCCGTGGACCAGGATGTTCAGCGTGTTGATCTCGTGTATCCCTGCGGTCATGGTACACGTTTTACGCAGATTTCGTGTGTTTATCACCGGTGGGTGGATTGTGTTGCACATGCTATTCTGATTGTATGTATGTTACCTTCGCGTTGGTGTTCGTAATTCTCTTTTTAGCAAGATTTCGCGTAGCTCTGCCGTAATTGATCAATTGAGATACATGTGTTACCCTGATCTGTTTTATAGCTGCGCAGTACATGCTACCATGCAACCCTGAGGGTGTTGACTTAAGACACCCATAGAAGACAAGCCTTCGAACAGCCGCAACATTTAAATTCTACCTATTACCTGCGCTTACATTCTTTCATGTTGTTTATTTTCTATTTCAAAATTGTATGCACAGTAGCGGGGGCCAGGCATTACTAAAAAGCGATAAAGAAAGATTTTCGTGCATTGGTCAATCCAGAGTTTGTAATCACGAATTGCGTATTGATCATCGGTTATAAGAGCGCTGTTACACACAAACTTAATTACAAACGTTAATAACATTGGTACGATATCAAAGAGCTTACTCGGATCATGGACTAGAGTCCAATAGACGAGTGTGATAACAAAGGCCAGGTCGGTGGCCACTATGTGGGCTAGCCAGTACAAGCGGCACAGCATTGGTGTTTTCTGGCGCCGTGGTAGCTGAATTTCGTCATCGTCGCTTGCTGAAATAAAGAAAAATAGCGATATTTATCTTATTATATATTTATGTTATATTATATATTCATCAATTATTTAAATTTATAACTCAAAGCGAGCAATTCTATTTGTATATCATATTTATACATTATGGAATTGGATCTGACGAGTTGTATCAATTCTTGTAATTAGATCAGCTTTTGCCTTTCAAGTTTTTCTTTATGTTCCTTTTTCAAACCGAGATTTTTAAAAGATAATTATAAATAATCAGTAATAACAATGTCATGTAGCGCCATCTTGTAAGTTTTTAAGGGACTTCGATTGTTAGTATTGGATACTAGCCTACTAGTAACTCAAATCCATGTTAGATGGCGCTATAAGATATCATGAGAATACGAGTATATTAGAATAATAATTACAGATTACCATTTAAAGTTTGACAGCCCAGTTAATAATGTTTCAATATTAATAGCCTTAATTAACGTATGAGAAGGCTCGGGATGCTCTGGCCTATGCTCTGCTTGATAGAGTTTGCAAAGAAGATATCCGTAGTAGAATAAAGATAACCGACACAGCTTAGAAGAGTCAGTCAGAGTTACTAAGGTGAAGTGGTAATGGGCCGACCATATAGATCGTAGGACCGATAACCGATGGGGAATAAAGGTTCTAATGCGGCAGCCTCATACTGGCCATCAAACTGTAGGATGACCCCTCACTTGATAGAGTGATGCCCTGTGCAAATGTGCAGGAAGTCGATGGATTCCGGTGGTTCAGGATCGTGCTTTGTGACATTTTGTTGGGTAGTGCAGTGCCTCTGTTCAGAAGTGGATGTTAACATGCTGAAATGATGATGGCGATGATGATTATGATTAATAACGTTCCTCTTGCATAATCCGTAAATATACATATGATGGAATGGAGTCCATCATTGCTCATAAAATCTTTTTCTTATATCTCATTCCAAATTAATTCTTCTTGATTTAGCATGACAATACCAGATTATGACAATACTATTAATGTAATAAAGTGGAAAAAGTTTTTGTGTCTTGACTACCATTAAATATGTATCATGTCATTTTACGATAAAACATGATGATTGCGAAAATATTACCTATTGCACAAGAAATGCGAAGCGGGGGTATGCCATATATTCTAGTAGAGCTATGACCTTTTGGCTACAGAATCATATAATGTCTTACTTTTTTCTCCACACTTTTTTAATTTACCATTTATGTAAAAGTAAATAAAGTAAAGTAACAGCCTATACATGTCCCACTGCTGGGCAAAGGCCTCCTCTATACAGAGGGTATCAGGGCATAGTCCACCACGCGGCCCCACTGCGGATTGGCGGACTTCACATATATTCGAAATATATTTTTTTTGTTATTATTTCGAAAATATGCAGGTTTCCTCACGATGTTTTCCTTCACCGCGGAGCACGTGATAAGTCAGCACTTAAAGTTAAAAACTTCATTGGTGCCGGCACCGGCGATCGAACTCAGGTTGCTCGAGTATATTGAATTAAGGCGAGCGCCCGGACACTGAGCTATCACGGCTCCATTTATGTAATTGACTTTAAATGAATTAATAAAAGTAGAATAGCAATCGGCCCACCTGTATAACGTAGGTAGTATTTATTTGTCTAGACTTAAATGGATTGGGGATTACAAATATCTCCGAGCTTCAAATCACTAAAGCGAACTGCCGCTTCTAGCGCCATCTAACTAAAAACACCCGAACAAAAGTTTACCTGAATTACATTCGAAGGACAATGCCGAAAATCGAAACAGACAACGACTGATACAAAGTGAGGTCAATTGCCTGACTTTTAACGAATATATTGGCCAGTTATCTGCGTCAATGGCAGGAATGGGGAACCAATAAGGATAATTGTGACCGCAGCGGATGACGACCCACTCGACGGCTTTAATTGACGCAAAATTGTATCAATCAAGTGTGCGCGACCCCGCGTCCCCTCGTCGATCGGTCGGACGTCGATAATGTGGGCGGGTGCAGTGAACAAAGTGTTCCTGGTTGTCTATACAAAATGTTATAAGTTATATAATGTTAAAGTTCTAGTAAAGCGCGACTTAAGAAAATTGAATATTGAAGGTAACGTGATTTATTAATCCCGCCCTTATCTTTACTTTGTGGCATCGGCACAACAAGTTGTAAGTTTTATTGGTTACGTTTTTGTACGGCTCGCCCCATACCTGACGTAAAGTCTCTTTGGGGAAACAGATCTGGGACTATATACAACTATCAGAGGGCTGCACAAATATATATCGCGTGCCAGCATCGAAACCGCGATAGTCGCCGCCGAAGCCAATAGCTTAGCAAATGAATCACTAACTTAGTCTTTAATTGATCATGAATACAATTGAACAATATAGGCACTAAAATGGAATGTTTAGTTAAAATTTTACGTTCCAAAACTTTCATCTGTTATTCATTCAGCGTTTCGCACGTATTGTTTACGTCGCGCGTCGTGCAATGCCATTAGGAATAGGCAGATAATGATCGTGCGCAGATACAAAACAGTGCTCTTTTGTTAGCTAGCCATGTTACCGGGGGTTTGACATTGAATTAGCGTGCTCGCAATGTCGATATGCGGCTTCATTACGGGTAGTAGCTGTTCGTTTGACACTGAGTGCTGGTTATATATTGTTGCTGCCAGCCGCTTTGTTCGCCGACCATTGGGATCGTTGAAAACATTGAAAGAAAATTGAACACAACTTTGTACCATAAATATACCACCTTGCCGAAAAAATACGTATCAGCGTGTCGTTACCATCGCGACAATAATGAACACACGTCTAACGCTACTTGCCAATAATCATAAAAAATATTAACGTTTAAAAAAATCCATAATTAAAAAAATAGCATTTTCAAACAAAGTAATTAAGTAAAAAAGAAACAAAATTTGTAACATCCTGTACAACTACAACTGACTGATTCATACATTCTGAGGCTTTTTCATTCGTTGCCACATCGTCGCATTACAAGCCTGTCCTTCTAACTGTATGTTTTGTCTCTTTTAAATTCATTCAACCCATTCATATGCTTTGTGACCTTTACAAATGAACTTTACGTTACAGTTTTATACGTAAGGGTGTTCTAAAATTCTTTGTTTTGGAAAATTTAATAACTCTGTAAATATTGATGTTTAAAGAGTGTAAATGTTTAATACAATTTTAAAAAGTTATCCTCTATATGTGCGTTCATTTATTGTCGCGATTGTAAAGACATAACAACAACCGTTTAGTGGCAGTCAATATCGATATTAATATGTAGGTTTAAGTTTCTCGAACTAACTTCGAACATATCATAAAACTCAAAAAATTAGTTTTTCATGACACTTAAAAGGTATATAATATATTTTTGGTTACATAATTACATAGTTTATATTGTATACGCACTTTTGAAGGGAACCGTTAGGTGACATGAATATTTACTTTGCGACTTACTGGTCTACTATATTCTACTGGTTACCCGATTGCTGCGACGCTCAAAGCAGAGTATTTGTTTGACTTGTATTTTAATGACTTGTATTGTTGTGTTTGTATGTCCGGCCCAATGTTCCTCGTAGCTACTAAACGGCTGAACCGCTTTTGATGAAGGAGTGTATTAGTATTTATTGTCCACTTGTCACAAAACGTAGAATTTTAATGACCAAATGTCTTCTTCTTTTTTCTTCTGTCTCCTAACGTTTGGGAATTCTAGCGAATTTACATTTATCTAACCCAAAATATTTTATAATAAAATCGTTTCAAAAAGGGAACTGTTGTCCTTATCGTCGTTTTCTCTCTAAATGCACTCCGGGATTGTAACTTGGTCTTCTTTCAGAGTTTTAGAATTCGAAACCGATGGCAAAATGTATGTATTCAAATCACATCGCACCGCAGTAGGGTTTTTTGTTTTATAATAATAGACTCGCTAAGCACATAAATTTCTACACAGCACTGGAACTTTTAAAATGGATGCATGGGGCATACAAGGCACGCATTCTTCAAACAGAAACACGTGTTCATACGTGATGCGTAATCAGCAATCAGCCATGATGGCATGTTTACGACACGCAAGTGAATCCACGATATAATTGATTAGCGCGCGCCGGCGGACATTCCTCCGAAATCCTAAGGAGCATGGTCACGCAAGTAAGCAACTTTATCAGGACGCTTTGTCCAAAGCAGAGGCCTTAATATATCTACTTATGCGTAAGAATGTAAGTGAATTAATTGTTATTATTTTATAACGGTACGTATTACTATACGATAGCTTTATTAAGCCTCCAGGGTGAATAGTACGTTTCGATGATTAACTGATCAAATTAAATTTTCCGTTGACAAAGTTAGGAACGTTGTCATGGTCCAAATCTTAGTTACAGCGTTATCGATTTTAAAACCATTCGTCCCTTATCGCAAAGTCGTTTATTAAACATTGCCAACGATTATTTATTGGTTCCATCAGTTGTAAGCACAGATACAGTCATTTGAAGGACCCGTTATAAGGCCATAGGCTCATCATTCATGTTTAATATTGTAAAGGATCGTTTTGTAGCTCTGTGAAATTGAATAGTTGTAGTTTTAGTGTACAGTCGAGATGGTACTATAAGGATATATGCGCCATTTGGTCTCTCTTTTAGCAATTTGGTAACGAGACGTTTTTCGGACATATACTACCATTAATGCAGCGATTCATCTCCTTTTAATAACAAAGATGGACTAAGATAGCAAATCTTTCTTGTCGTCTGTATACTTGTAAGAATATAACAATAATCGTGGTAGTTTGCATTGTTTTTTCGAGAAATTATGTTTGTGTATAACACGTTTAAGAAATAGTAATTTATCTACAAGGATAGGCTGACCGCCTTACCGATTTATTGTTTGCAAAGAAAGGTCGGAATCTGGTTTCAAAGCAAGCAAAAAATTAATCTGCACAAGAGCTCTAATTAAGAATAACACTCACTCATGCCCAAAGTTTTCTCCGCTCGATATCTGTATACGACCGCCAGCGCTAGGCCCGCCTGAACTGCGATAAGCAGAAACCCCCAGTTCGTGAAGTATATAAACCATTTGAAGTAGTTCAACTCCACTCGGGGCCCCTGGTAGAGCCGCGGCAGGCGCTGGCACGCGAAACTCGCTGCCGCTATCGATACTACTGAGAGGAACAGCAACCATCTGTGAACAGAAGATAACCGAGTGCCATCACACGGTTTGCTTAAGCCAATGATAATATGTGCGGGGAATTTAAAACTACGGTAAAGATGGTTTGCAATAAAATAAATTACATTTCAACGTCTGTTGCTAATTGCCAAGTATGCCTTATGTGATAAGTTGTCAAGCGAGCAGGTGGTTCACCTGTTAAGTGAATACCGCCGTCCGTGCGTTGACAATCTTTTGAAAATTGGGCTCCGGCTACCTCACTCACCAGACGAAACGGGAAAGTATTATACTTTTAATTTACGAGGCTGCTGCTAGGCTCTACCACAGTTAAATATAAAAAAGGCCTTCTGTACTTATTATTCAATACTTTAATTATGTTAGTTTCGCTAAAGTTGTAAAATAAATAAATATATAAATAAGAGCAAAATGCAAAAGGCATATTTTTAAATCATAACACAATATGAAATCAGGATTGTGTTACCTGTATGTGAGATATAGTGTTGCGGGCCTGTGTCCGGTCTGCCATTGGCAACACGCGAACTGGTGCGGTGGGGAGTGCTCGAGGTTCAGAGCGCGCCTACTGGCATGCCACACGCGCCCCAGCATCGCGGGCTTGCAGGATTTTTTCATTGCTATGACAGAATGTAAGGACCAAATTAGCGATACTAATTACGATGTCAGTCTTTAATTGATGCCTTGAAATATGTGTCAATTCGCGACGCGATTGTTTGGGAGTTCCCGCAATACGTCCTAATATGATACGGCTGTTTTTACAATTCAAATGGGAATAACGGGATACTTATTAAGTTATGTTTCTAGAGGTATTCATAATAATCTCTTGTCTTAGATAGTCCCGTTACCGTATACTGTGGAAATTTCATTTGAGTGATTTTAGTTCGTGACATTTCTAATAGATAAAAAAATTTCAAATTGATGTTACTCTAGGGATTAAATGAGAAGGGATGAATAACAAATTCACAATCAAACAAAACAATAATAGTCGACAATACTTGACGAAAGTGAGCAGACATTTACATTTTCGCTACACGCGAATCAATTAGTGTGCTGGGACCTGAACAATTGCTCTTAGCACTCACTACCTATGACATAATAGGCATCCGTCGACCATGTGATTATCCTACGCAGTTTACTAGAATTATATAATCGATACCATTTAAAAAATACACTAAAGACAACTAGGAATAAAATCAAATTTCAAATGTTCATTGCTTTTACATTCGAAGGCTTCGTTACTTTGTTTTCTATTTTTTAACTTTATTTTCTAATCTTTGTATGATAAAATTGGTAAAGTATCGGGAACGAAATATCTTAAGTTTAATCATTTCTATATACTATTTACTCGAGTACTAAACATTGTTAAATAAACTATTATTATTACGAAACCCAGGCAGAACTTATCCCGTGACCTGTTGGATGCTGTGCAGTATTTTGCAAATAAATACGTTTAAATCTGTGTAAAGTAATTTTATTTAACAGCATCTTTATTTTTATCTTATCCTTTAAAAGAGCAATTCTTGTATATATATATATATTTATATATATATATAATCGGAATTTCGGAAACGGCTCCAGCGATTTTCATGAAATTTAGTATGTGCATAGGTTCGGGGGCGAAAAATCGATCTAGCTAGGTTTCATTTTTAGAAAATGTCCTTTTATCCCTGTTTTGAGAGAATGAAAAATATAATTTGAATATGACGGTAAATTTCGCCGCAAGTAATTTCCAAAATACACGATTTACGAAAAAAAAAAACACACCGAGCAAAGCTCGGTTCTCCGGGTACTTATCTTTATTTCTTATCTTATAACTGGATGGTAATTTATATATATAATTCTACTGTACGTGTGTTGTCACTGAACTCCTAAACGGCTGGAACGATTTGAGTGAATTTTTTTGTATGAGTTTGGATGGCTTCCTGGATGGTTTAGATTCACAATTTTTTTTTAGTAGTTGTCGGATTTAATTCGTGTATACAGGACAACGTCTGTCCGGTCCGTTAGTATTATTATAAACATCAAAGTCCAAGGCGGTCAATTTTGCAGATTCAGGTAGTAACACACGTTTGAATCGTTTGTTTATTTAACAAACAATCAGACATAATTCTCGTATTTCAGTTGTTTCTAAAAAGTGTATCAGCTCTGAGAAAGCAAGACTTCCTTATTTTATGACGTCGTCTACTTGGGGGCTGATACTGAGATATTTCATTATTGAAGAATAAACCGCACTTAACGATGTTATTATATCTTAATAAGGTATCAGCAGAAATGAGGCCTTTGTTCGCAAAAATTACACAATGATAAAGCAATTACGGTCTTTTATGGTAAATGATAATCATTAGTGATCAGAACATAATATCTAAAAGATCAATAAATGTTAACATTGCGATTAAAACCTAGAACCTTGTGGATCTTAGAATTTTCGACGAAATAAAGCTATTAGCGGCGGAGATATGTATAAAAGCAATATTTGTTTTATATTTATTTAGTAATTACGAAAATAATGAAAATAATTCTTACGAAATCGAGGCTATACATTAAATGACCTTTTTATATTTTAAGATATTTTAATTGATAACGGATACCTTATCAATTAAAATCATCTAAAAAAATCTAATTAAATCATCTATCAATATCTTACGCAACATTTTTCGAGCTTACAATTTTTTTATTCGATAAAGTAATGTCACTTTTGAAATAATCCATAATTTAAAATAGAGCAAATATATGAAAAAGCTAACTTTTAATGGAAAAAGTTATTAAAACATATTATTTTCACTAAGTTCGCCATTTTATTGTTTTCAAAACATAAATACACAGTTCGTAAGTACTCATTAGGCAGTGACAATATTTAAATATAATGAAATACAATGAAGTGAAGAACGGGAAGTAATCGCGGATTGTACATTGTGTGAAGTAAAAAGATTTAATTAATTTTTTCTCGAAATCCACATTTCTCTATCGCTTAGTTCTTTTTTAATTTATAAAAGGGTATTGTAAGATTACTAAACAATTACTCGTACTTTATTGCTGTACATAAATTAAGCCCGATCACTTACGTAACATTGTTTTATTTAATTGGCTGTAGGTACTAATTACGCGAGCCGTGATAGTTGTCCGGGCGCTTGCCTTTAATTCAATATACTCGAACAACCCGAGTTCGATCCCCGGTGCCGGCACCAATAAAATTTTTAATTTCAAGTGCTGAATTATCACGTGCTCAGGGGTGAAGGAAAACATCGCGAGGAAACCTGCATATTTCAGAAATAATAAAAAAAATATTTCGAAAATATGTGAAGTCCGCTAATCCGCAGAGGGGCCGCGTGGTTGACTATGCCCTGATACCCTCTGTACAGAGGAGGCATTTACCCAGCAGTGGGACATTTATACACATATTTACTTTACTAGATACTTTACTTTACTTCTACTCATTGCGGGGGATACAATGATGGGGATATAAGATAACATTTATAAACTCTTATCAAAGAAACGTTGACCTGCACAGCGATTGAAGACGCCCGACGTAATGCGATCATTTTATGGAAATAAAAAAACGGTTCTTCGAGAGAGCTGAGCTCAGTGGCGTGCATAGAAACTTCAGTCCAATTTACACATGGATATGTGTCCTTTAAAAAGGACATAAGATGTTAAGAATCTTTTCTTTGCGAAAGTTAATTTTTCCAAGGATTGTACAATTGTAACTAATTAAAATAAATTATAAACTAATTAATTGAGTAATAAAACCTAAACTAGTTAATGTTTATAAATAAAAATGACCTATCTGCACGGAACATTTACATATTATATACAAAGAAGAAGCGAACAACATATATTAAAATTGGCCCTTTAGATTATACTACTAGCGCCGCAGTAGTAGGCATAGCAAGCTAACACAAGAACTAATCCTCACCACCAAGAGTTTCAAATATCTAGGCGGGAATATAAATATTTGGAATGTATTTTCACTTATTGCTAAATTTAGTATTTTATTCACCGCAAGTGTCACTAGTCTTATATATTAAAATGGTTTGCTGTTCGTTAGTCTTGCTAAAACTCGAGCACGGTTGGACCGATTTGGCTTATTTTGGTTTTGATATATTAGTGGTAGTTCAGGGAAGGTTGAAACGATTAAAATTATGGAACATCCAAATAGCAACAATTTTATTTTCTCATACAAACTGTACCTGTCAACCTGTCAAACGATTTTTGAACGCGTTCCGATTCCTCTAGAAATAATTTATATGGCAAAACAACGTTTGCCGAGTCAGCTAGTTTACTATAAAAACATATTAAACTAAAAAACCTTATTGGTTTTAAAGAAGACCTTACTAACGCGACTAATTTTAGTTTAAATAAACATTTTTCGCTAATAGGAGGCACACGTATATTTAGCCATTTAAGTAAATAATTAACGTAAAACAGACAATAACTTAAGCCAAGAAAAACAACCAAAACGAACTGGTGATAAAAAAACTGAACGAAATACATGTCATTTAATCAACAATTAATCAATACCTTGACGGACTTCTCAAAACGGACGGGTTGCACCACAGAGACGAATGACGCTTTGATCATAGATCAAAATAGGATTCAGACTTTAATTAGCAATACTACCTGCTTATAACCCATTCGTCGTTTATCAGTTGACTGTCCTTTTAATGTTGCCAAACACAAGCTTGGTTGGAACCGTAGAAAACCCGCAATGTACAGGCAGAAATAACTTTAAAAACCTTATTTTTTTCACTAATTTGATTTATAAAGTACTTTAGATAACAATGATTTGTTTTTATGCCATAAACATTAAGAAAACACAATAAATTAGTACGTTGAAAAGTTTAATGCTTATTACCTTTAAAAATAATATACTTTATATAATTCAAAGGCACAAGAGCATGCATATGATTAGCCTTTATTAATATTTTGACATTAACATTTGACGCAAATTGTTACTATCTTGAATTATCTATGAAAATATGGGGAGGACTTTTGTCTGTGGCCCCTATGTATTTCAAAATATTATATAAACAGCTGATGAAAATTTTTTAGCTTTATTTTAGCGTTAATTTGTTTTAAGACTCGATACCAATGACCATAAATATTTAAAAAAAAAAAAGTGTCTTCAAGGAAGATGGACTACAGAGATCAAAAAGTTTCTTAAGATTTTTTGTTGGTTGTTACATATTAATTAAAATTCGTGGTACTGAGTTGACCCTTTGAGCGTTTTTAATTAAAATATTCGCATTTGCTGCGTCTCTCATTTATTATCTTGTATCTTGTATTAACTGATGTTTTTGCTTTCAGTCCCGAGACTATTAAAGCTTCATCTGACGCAGAACCGGTGGGCTAGCCAGAACCCACGGGTTTGGGCCCTCCGCTGTGGGTAGGGCCGCGCATCTGCTCATGCGTGCGTTTAACTACGACATGTCATCTAAGGGCCATCGAAGTTGCGGTGCGGACCGAGACCCCGATGGCCGTCGACTGTGTTTTTAGCTAATCGGTGGCTGGGGGCGGTGAGAACCGCCCTGGAACGCGGGTGTACCTTGTGTACGCGTTGTGTTGGTCTCGCCGTGCTCGGAGGCGAGGGCGAACTATTGTGTTTGTTGTTACACTAGCT